TGTCCGTTTACGAAGTAATTAGCATCAACCGTCACACTCAGAATTAAGGTACTTTTAATTACCATAAAAAATCTTCACCACCGAAATAAAATTAAAAGGCTATAAAGCATATATATTATTTTGTCATTCCCATCATTATTCGTGTGGAGAAACATTTCTCATGGAGATAAACAAAAACGGTTGGAACGCCCCGAGCCTCCATCACCGCGTTCATAAATAAGATATTCGTATTAACTAATGCTGTTACAAATGTTACGTCTTCTTTAATCTGTAACATTATATTGTGCTTTCTGGATATATATCACTGTACAAATTATGACTAGGTCTATTGTTAACGTTTTGTTCGGCCAAAGGGTGCAAGTTACAGGATTTGAGCAGGTTTCTTAACAGAAATTAGTTTTGCGATGATTACAGACTTGAAAGCAGGTGAAATAAATATTATTAACTGTTGGTTTTGCTTAAACAATATTTTTGCTTTTAGTTTGTCAGACTAAGGTTTCAATAATTAGTCTAATAAATGTCTCATTTCAATTTCACAACAATTTTAATCATAAATAACTTTATGGTTTCCATTCTTAAGTTTTAAAAAAATATTTCTAAAACATTTCATTTTACTGAAGTTTTATAAAATATATTTCATTAATGAAATATTAAATCCGCTATAATCTTATGCTTGACTCCACAATAAAACTCAGAGCCAGCATAACGGAGATGGATTGTGGTACATTACGGGCTCACGTCTTAATCTCGTCGGCGGCTATTACAGCGCGTTTAATTAGCGCAGACAATAGTCCGCTCTTGTCTTAATAATACGCCAAAAGTTCCTTCATTGTCTCAGCAATGACTAATTTATGATGCTAGGATCACAATTGTTTAGCAGGTTTCATAATTGTCGGTGAAATAATAATAAATAATTGTTCTAGCAGTGATTAATGGTGATTGGCTGCGTTCTTGTGCTCTGGCTGATCTGATTCTTATATGAAAGTTTCTTCATCAACTAGAGTAGCATTTGCGTCTGTTTTGTCGATTACATTGATATTGTGAATGGTTACATCAGATTTATTTTCTTCATTGATTAGGAAAAGGTTTGTACGTACAACGTTGTAATTTTTTTCTCGTCGAAACTACTTCTAAGAATAAATTTAGTTTTTCTGTTTGATCAATGAATCGTTTTTGGTATGTTTGTCCTCGTGTTTTATAGCGTGACTTATGTCCACCAGACAGACGAATTGTTTTTCATTTCATCTTCACTGAACCACGGAAAATATTTCATTCAACTGTTTTCTCTCACTTTATCTTATTATTATAAATGTTTACATCTCCGACAATGTTACTCCTGGCAACTCATAACATATCCGCGACTACAATCACAGTTATCAACAAAAGCTATTAATTACTGATAACGTTGCTGATAATGTTGGCACGTAAATATTGACATAGATCACGCCTGACACTGCCTTAACCTTTGTTATAATTATCTTCTATTATTGAACATAATCTATATGTAACTATTTTAAATCTGTTAGCATATCTGGCGTCATCTCTTAGGTCTTTAATATGTACTTCTTTAATCTCATTTGCACGAACACCGTTTTGTATTTCATATTACTGTACTATCAACCCTTCATTTTTGTGTATTCGGATGTATGTTTCTGTTTACTTTTAGAATAACATCACGCATTAGTTTCACGTTTACAAAAATGTAATCGTAAAGAAATTTTCGAACTCGTTTTATGGTGGCAGTATAACCGACTAATATTTATAAGGCATTAAAGTAATTGTTCGGATCAGAAGGATATCTTCCAATATAATTTTAAAAGTGCATCTAATATTTCTGTCTAACATTGTTGCTAAAGACCTAAGGATACATATATCTGTTTATATTTAATTGCTTTAGGAAAAAGACAAGTACAAATCTGGTCTATATCTGATTTCACCGAAGAACTTACCAAGAACCCTATTAGTTCTGCAATTACGTCCTATAATAGGTCTATTTATATTGGTACTGCTGTCTCTGAACTGTTGATTAATCTATGGACTTCGATACCTCTTGGTAGGATTCTGGGCTGGTTTATCATAGAACTTATTGCATAGAGTAATAATACTGAACAGAGAGATCAATAAAAAAAACTAGTTCCATCGTTATACGGACGTTTTATCTCAATTATACTTGGGCTTATAAAGCTTTGATAGTGCAATCATATTTTCGCCGACGAGTAGTCTAGCCTATGCCGATAAATGGGGAGTAAATATGGAGACAGATATGGCGCAGTTTTCTGCAACATTTATAATTTAGATGTCAATATTGAATTTGATAAAAACATTATTAATATTAATGATGACAGAAATACTAATAGTTTATTAGATAAAGTTGTTTTAGCCATTTAATTAACCAAATACGGCTTTATAATGGAAAACTGTGTGGGCATGGCTATAGCTTTTGTAAAGTTTCTTTTATGTACAGAATATTTTAATAATAAAATTGTATTGTAACAAATAATTTATGGGTGGTTTTAGTAAAAAAGTGTTTAAACAAAATGGTCATGGCAAGGTACAAAAATCTTTTAGTTTATAGCGATAACTTAGCATCAATAAAAGTAATATATGTAGTCAAGAGCCAAATTTATAACAAATTTCTGTGCAAATTTAATTTTTTGTTATTTTCTAAAATCTATATCACATTACTCTTTACGAAAACAACTGAAAATGGATTCATTGTTACAAGTTAAAAACCAAAATTAACAAGTGCTTCGAAGAAGACCCGTCACTTTATTAAAACATGTCTATTCATTTCCAAGACAATACGAAATTCTAAAAGCAAACAATACACACTAAAAATAAAGTAAAACAAAATGCTTGGCGAGCATTTACCGCAAACGAGCGTAATTAGTCTGGTGATAATCTCACGCTTAGCAGTCTTAACGCATTAGCATTGTACCGACAATAAACGGCACAATTGCCGGTTAACACATTCGGTGAGCTCTAAATGTTAACATCTAATGAAATATACCACAAATTGCTGCCGGTTCGAATTAACAAGCCATAAGATAACATCTCTATCATCATCATCTCTTGAATCTGTTTCTTTTGAATATTTATACACGTCTTCAGCTTTATTAGGATTTACTTCATTGACAACAACTTCTTTTTCAACTTTATTTTCTTCATCAAGCTCTGAATTGATTATGTTATCATCGATTTTATCATTAACGCTCACACCATCGGCAACTAATTCTAAATTACCGGTAATTATCTGCTTATCTTCACCCAATAGTAGTGTCTTATTAAAGCCTCCATTTTCTTTTAAACATGAATATTAGAAATTTAAGCGTATTGGTTTAATTACTACTTATGCTATTCTCCATTAAAGTTATAGGCTGTAAATAATTCAACGTCCACTTAAACTAACGTAAAATTATAATAGTATTAGCTATGAAACTGGTGAGCATGTACTTGCGTGATGCTGTAGTTTTATAAATAACATGTTTTAGTTGACCTTTTTATGGTGGTTGTTGAACTGTCCTGTGTATTGGTGACTAAAATGTTAGCTGTTTTTACAAGAAAATTAGTTTATAAGCCTATTCTCTGATATTATTCAATTATGAGTTTTATAAGTAATTTCTGTTAATATTTCTAGTATTTATTGCAAATTTGCATAAGTTGTTATTTATATTTTCATGTATGTCTTGCTTAACATGGTATTCGTCTGTATATTCGTCTCATATCTCATCACCTCCATTGACATATTATTTTTTATTAAAATCTTCAACTTATAAGAAATAAGTCAAACAAAAATCTTAAGTGCACCCGCTGAGCGCAACATACTAGTATTTACGATTTCCGTCACCCGAACTCAGTAGATATTTATTTTAATGTCGGAATATCTATAAAAGCCTAGTAAAACATGCGTTTAACGCTTTTATAGTAAACTTGCGGTGGTCCTAACATTGTTTTTAATGTGCAGTAATATGGCTAATTAAATTCTGGTAAACTACAAACTTGAAATGTTCTAAGTGTCTCCGTTTTATTTTCGTCGGCGAGCGACAGAGCTTGTTCTTGTAATTAAACGGGTATTATGTTGCGTCATTAGTTTTTCAAAGAAGTGAATGAATGAGGGAGGAAGCCTTGCGTTAGTTTAGTACTTTTTAATTGTTTTGGTACAACATAAAGAAGGCTTTTGTAAATATTATGTACCGGTCTTCCTGACTTAAAAGTCATTTCAAAGTTATTTAAAAAAAAATGTATATTTTTGCCAATAATCCAGTGTTACGCAATGGAAAGTATTCCGGACCTAGGAAACGAATCCTAAATTTACATAAACACTTTTATCACTAATGCGATTGATTAGTAATAAATTATATCGTAATAATGATTTCCGCATATCTTTGCAAACATACTGAAACAAAACATTTGATAAATGGCTAATGTAGGAAACTGCCAATAAAGGGAAGGTGACCAGATCAATTAGACGATAATAATGTAATGTCTGTCTCGTTAATGAGGTGTGTCAAATGGACATTGAACAATGATACGCAGAGGACATTCAATTGTTACGTATGTCTATAAAATGTAATAAATAGCCATCGATGCAACTAATTTGTTATTGTCTAATGACGATTGTGAACTCATAGATAAATTGAAATGGTTCGCAAGTCATTATTGTTTGTTGGTTATTTTGTAAACAGTTTGCTTATTAAGACTCATAAAAGAAGAACTTGAACATCTAAATAATAAAAAAACGTATGTTTTTAAAACACCATACTTATTTAAGAAAACTCTAACCAATTTATTAATGGTTTAGTAAAGGACTTCGAACTCAGCCTCATATCTCAATGAAGAGTAGGTATTTATCCGTGATAGATAAAGGTCCGTATTGTTCAATTTCTCTCGTTTGCGTCATTTGCAGTTATATAAGTACCCATTACACGGCGAAGGACAAACAAGTGCATCGAGGACAGTCAGTCTACACAGTACTTTAAGAACACAATTACTTCACTTACTTGTTCTTATTCACAGGTGTCGTCGATGGAGTGGGCCTCTTCTCCTCTTTAATCGTACTATTGTTCATTTTCGACGTTAGCCTCTTCAAGACGTCATCCATAGAACGCTTGTGAGGTGCAGTCAGCGACAGAGCGCTGTTGTGGTTCAACAAGGAATTGTTATTGTTGCACAGTCCCAAAACTTTCGCCTCGGCTCCAGGACTACTGCATTCTGATGATCCACGCCTTCGAACCTGGAGATCGTTCACTTGATGGAGACTTAAGAAAGATGATGGGACTAGAAGATTATTTGTCATGTCTAATGTTTGCTCGAATCGTTGCTTCTTTGATGGTCGTTCGTCTTCGTAATTCGTATCTTCCTCGCTGATAGAACTCCTTGTTGAGGAACTGGGCGAGAGCTTGTAATAACTTTGTTGCTCGTTGTCATCCGACTCCTGATGGTCAGGAAAATCCTGGTTGGCTGGGCCGGCTTCGGGCTTCTCTGTGTCGGCGGCACCTTCTTGCAATTTCGACGGTGGTGACTTTCTTTTAGATGACATGTTTCTGTGAAAGAAAGTTACATTTAATAGTTGAATTACATTGAAAGGCAATCAAAGGGACCAACGGGAAATATCTGACATTTATCAAGTACACAAGACATTCTAAGTGCTGTCAAGACCTGAGTACGGACTGGTTAATAGCTTGTAAGTGACATCGAAACTGGAGATGTCCTAATTACTCAGCTCAGTCTATTCGTTAGCATTACTTGTACTTGTACAAATAGTTGTTAAATGCAAAATACAAACAGCGTTTACAAACAGTATCACTGTTTGATCGAGATCTCGGGTCAGACGTCAAGCGTAGTATTTGTCACCAAAACTCCCCCGACTAGTTACGAAACTCGCTTCGTTAAAGCACCTAATTGGGCTCTACTAATTGTACTAATTGCAGTAACTGCCTCCTTTGGACTTAAGGTGTCCGTCGGTCCATGTAACGCCGACCACTCGAGATGGATCTCTAAATACGAGTTCATTTTCATGGGCAACACCTATTTTGTTAATAAAGTAGAAGGGCAGGGAGGTTCACGTGATATTTGTTGGATGTTGTCTATGTGTGGGTGGTAGGTTATGCAGGATTGGCCGATATCTTGTGTGGTACTCTAGATATACGCGTGTGTTCGGTTATAGAGTAGCATGTGTGCTTTGATGCTGATTTGAGTTAGAAACGTCTTCATTGATTGTGTTAACAAACAATCCAGTGTCTGGCGTCTCCGCTTTGATGTTTGTCTACATATCTGTTGTAAGTATTGATGTGATTATTTTGAAACGTTTACGCAGTGTCATCCTTTTGCAGGAATGTTGTATCCTTTGAACTTGTGACAAATGAGGTAAACAGATTTAGAGGAATCTATTAGGCATATGTTTGCAATGTTTTGGCATCGTCGCATTCTCCTTGTTAGTTTGTTGTTTCGTATCTTCAATGTTGTTGGATGTTTCATTTTGTGATTCTAATCACTTATTTAGTAATATCTTACGAGTTAAGGCTATGACCTAAGGCCCTTTAATACTAAATCCATTTCAATTTATTTACATACAGTAACATTGTTTATGTTTAAAAGTTTACCCAAAGTCTGCAAAGTTGGTAAAGGTCTGACAACTAAATGAAAAATAAACATTTAAAATTTAGAACTTAAAGTATTCAGAGGGCTTATTAAGTTCAAGTAATGAATTTTGTTGATTGATTAGAATTTGTGTTTATTGTTGTGTTATTAGTTGGTAGTTTGAGTTTAAGTTTATAATTGAAAACTGTAGAGTACTTTCAAAAAAGTATTACCTATACGCACGATTATTATCTTTGTTTTATTCGATTAATGATATGAATCAGTTAATAAAAATATCAATCTACTCACATATCTAACTACCTTAGTTGTTGTAGAAAAATGCAAAGTTTTTTTTAAATTTTAATGAAAATTATCTACATATTTCGGTCATAATGTCGCTACTGAAAGATGTATCGATTGGTACTGTGTGCAATAGGTGTCAAATCGATGTTCAAGTTAAAAGGCCTGTTAGCACACTGCCGTAACAAATCTAGTTAGTGCCCTTGAGACAAAAGAGGGGTGATGGTACAACCAAGAGTTAGGAAACAATTTGAAAAGCCAATACAGAAAACTATATAAATATTTTTCTTTATTTTTACAAGAACAAGATGCAATAATTAAAATTAGTGGATCTACTATTTTCTATGAGTAGGTAACGTTAATTAATTTTTTAACTGTATTGTTTATAATAATAAAAAAGCTTTTTCTTTTTTTCGTATGATATTTTTTTATTAGTCATGACTGTTAATATTTTAAAGAATATTCTCCTGAATTTTTAAATCAGTAACAATTTTAATTCTTGCTAATTTTTTTATTAAACTAATAAAGACTGAAAATGAATTTTATGACTGAAAAAATAATCTTAATAATATGTATTTAAAGAAGAATTCTCTTATCAATAAACCCCATTTTCTTAGATCCCGGACAATAATTGAATTTATTGGGCTGCGCTCCGCCACGGTCGTTGTAATGAAATGCAAAAATCTAATCAGTTATACACAATAACCCCACTCTGTTCTTCCCGTTAACTTTTAAGTCAGAAAAAATTTACAACCTATTCCTGTAACAATTTTATAAAAGGCAAATCCTCATACATTGATTATAATAATGCGATTTGCGAGGAAGGAAAATTATATGTGTATAAATCTTTTTATTCTTAAACTAATAAACGAATGTGGATAAAAATTTTTCCAAAGACTAGTCTAACTAGGATGTGAAACATAAAACTGACTTTAAGTAGGTACGTTTTACCCTATAAATGTGGTTATGCTGTTCACATTGACAGAATCTTGTAATCAACCTCGCTTTTTTCTCAATCAAATCAATTGTAGGTATATATAAGAAACACAGTTTATCAGTTCTATTGTAAATAAACCCATTCGAGACAATCTATCTGAAAAATCTAATTTACGACTATGTCATATTCATATTCATATTCATATTTATTTGCATTCCACAATGTATAAGAGGTGTTACAGAATGGCTTAGAGCTAAGTACAATCGTGGACCCTGTAGGGCACAGCAAAATAAAACTTACATCTAAAATTAAAACAATTAAAATTAATTTATATATATATGAAAATTCAATAAATGTATCATGGTAATGTGCTTGTTGTTATGCGTTATGTTGTATATGGACAATGTTGTTATCATTTATATATTCATCAATTGAGTAGTAGGCTTTGTTGATGAGGATATTCTTGAGTGCGCTTATGAACTTAGTTTCGCTAGTTTCATTTTTTAAAGAATCTGGTAATTTGTTAAATAATTTAATGGACATTACATAAGGGCTATTGCTATGAAGTTTCATGTGTGAAGAGGGGTGCATTAGCATGTTTTTGTGTCTTACTGGCCGATCTCTATGTTTATTTCCACGGGTTGTGAAAAAGTTTGTATTTTTTCTTACAAATTTACATATTTCTAAGATATAAATAGATGGTAATGTTAATATTTTATATTTTATGTAAACTGGTTTGCAGCTATCGGTTTGCTGTAAATTAACTCTTATGTCCTCCACTGTTATTGGATATTCTCGTTCCTAACAAACTTATAGTATCACAAAACATTGCAATAGCACATTTATTCCACAAGCAACAAAGTCCATCCGAAATAATTCCATAAATATGTCAATTGTAACTACTAATTTCCTTTTCATTACTGTCACAATGACGTCACGCGGTGGCGCGAACAATATGGCGTTTTGGCGGGAAATTTGACAGGCCACTATTACGTTCGGAAATGTTTATTTCTCTTCAGTGCGTTTCTAGTTTATAATAATGTTAGTCATATTTTTTTGTGATTGACAGTCAGTAATATCTGTATTATAGGTAACAGGAAATATGCGTCAAAATTAAATGCACATTACTTTTTAAATTATGTCAAAGCTTATAGAATTGATCGTGCCTTAATGTAATGTTGACTGAAATATATTTTTCTACGAATACACTATTTTTTTAAATTTTGCTATTAATTTTGTTTATGTTTTTATTATTTGAATACAGAATACATTTTCTCGTTTTTTTTTTGTAGATATAGTACAGAAGTACAATTAGAAATAATATTGAAAAGCTTCAATGGTGCAACTCAATTTCAATTTGCAGTGGGGTGACGTCACAATGAATCCAGAGAATTGCCGACAAATTGTTTTTGTAAACGCCACCCCTGGTTAAATGGTTTGCTACTGGTGATAAAAAGGGTTAGCTTTCATTGTTCTTTTTTCAAACAAGTGCATTATTTTTATAGGAATTGAAAAAAGTATACGTTTGCTGTTAAGTGGCTAGGATTATGAAACACTGTTTAAGAGGTAGACCTCCTTACAACTATAATCACGAAAATGGGATATGATTGAGTCTGTTACCATGGAATATTTTAAATTATTAATAAAATACAACAAAAAATATTAAGATTTTATTGTAATCATAGCCTTCGTCTGTTAAAGGAAAACATACAATGTATAATGTACAACTATTTTTCTCGGTGAATTCACCTTGCTGATAGCATAGTTTTAGTATCAAAAACTATTGACATAATACAAGTTGCTACCTAATATTCATAAAGTCAAATGATAGAAAATAAACCCATTTTTAATACTGAGAATGGATCTTTACAAACACGAAAGGTTATAACTGGTATCGGAAAAAAGCGGGCTTTGCGTTAGTGTTCCAAAAATTGTTATTATACGATACTAATATTATTAAGGTTTCTGTTGTATAAATCCAACATTTACAAGGTAAATTGTAAGTATCTTTCCTCTATAGCATTCAAGATTAAAAACTTTATACGAACAATATAAATTTATAACCACAATACCATACATTATTATTTTAAATTTGATAAGGGAAGATAATTTCAAAAATGTTATGTAGTGTGTTACATTATTGAACATATAATAATTTAAACCCATACTAATATTAAAAGTTAAAGAATTTGTTTGTTTTAACTCGCTAATCTTCGAAACTACTGGTTCAAATTGAGTAATTCTTTCTGTGTTCAAATTATCGATAGGCAAAGATAGGCTAAACATCGCACTACCATCAAAAAGTAAGCGGCGGAAAGAGGCGAAACCGCTGGAAATCAGCTAGTCAACGAAACTTGTTATTACGAAACTTGTCTCTGACCAAACATGGAAAATTGACGGATGACTCAAACTCGAATGTGTAATACACACTTCAATCGACTCCTTCCAAAGAAAACCTCACCACATCCTTTATTACATCAACGTCCAAAACGATCCTTCCACATTCCTCCAAGATATGGTGCCAGGGAACCCATACCTCGCGTTCCTGCAAGTTTTAACATGTTCCATATGTAACTTCTAATTTCTACGAGATATTAACATGTGCATCCGTTTAGAAATTAATCATTGGACGGACGAACGGACGGACCGTCTAAGTAAACGTAACGAGTGTCTACCTTCGAATCTATTTGACGTAGGAAATTGCCGACGCCCGTCTTAGATAAACTG